TGTTTTGCTTTTAAGCATAACAATCTCGCACGGACGTATTACCTGGTTAAAGTATTTTAGGGCCTCCTTATGCTTTAAATACTTATATCCGAGGCAGTACTTTCAGATCGATTTGAAAATATTACGAACAGTCACGTGATCTCTTCATTTTAGTGACGTATTACTGTGCTACTTTGTGATTGGTGCATTTTCTTGGCGCAGCATCGACACGTCAGCTGTTTGCGGCATTGAGCGGAAGGTTTAAGGTTATGTCATGGACCAAGAGAATGAATAAGGACCCCCAACTCCAGTTAGCGGAGACATTAGCGCTGCCTGCGTTCACGCCGTGAATATGGATGGGTCCAGCCAGCGCCGATGTCACCGCCGGCCGGCCGGTCCCTCTCTTAGTCTCTTCCCCGCGACCCGCGCTTCCCCTCCCCATTGCTGAACTCCTCTTCACGCGGCCCCGCTCCCCCGCGACCTGCGCGCCCTACCTCGCGGCGTCGCGACGCCGCTGTCCGCTAGATTGCGTTGACGCACCAGCTTTAGAGGTTCCGCCGCTCTTTCCCGTCGTCTGATTTACAGTGAATCCTTTATGTTTCCATTCGCCACCGACTAAAATTCATCACAAAGTGCTTGTGGAAAGTTTCAGGTCTTCGCGGTCGATCTGAAGTTTTGAAGGGTTTTGCGGTTAATGAATCCCACTTTAAATTCCAGCTTCGTCAGTCTTCGGGTACATAAGTTGGTAGTAATATGCTTTGACAAAGAAGCGCCCTTCAACGCTTGGGCGTTGGAACTGCTTGTTTATGTTTTCATCGGTGCCAAAGTCGGCAAAAATGGAAGGGTGTGGAGTGAATACAACAGCGATGGTTGATGATTGTGTGGATAGAAAGAAAGAAAATTCCATAATCGTTCCTATAAAATACTTCTTCTTCATCTTCTAATGAAAAAGAGTCAAATCATTATTGATTTTTGACAGTTGATTTTAGCTTTTACGCCCAGGATCTTTTGGACCATTTACTTGGCCATACATGGGTCATTCTTAAGGAGCAGTTTAACATCCACCGTTCGCGATGCGATTCATTCATTTTAGAGCGATCCAAAATTTGAAGTTTCATTCATCTACAGTTTCAAGAACAAACAAAAAACTTTTGGCTTACGATAAATCAATAAAATACCTTAAATAACTGAAAAATAATGATATTAGAAAACAAACTGTTGAGTGTTAAATGACATGAGGATGCCTTAATTGCTATCAGTGCCTCCTTAGATGAAGAGCGTTGCTGTAGAACATGTAAGTCGCTTTTGACGTGTACTGTTCGCACGCAGCAGCGAGATGGTTTCATGTAAAATTTACGGTTTGAGAGGTAAAATGCTCGCCTCCACTACTAGGTGTCACTGAAGTCAAAAGTCAAAAGCTGCCTTGGCGCACAATTATAATTGGACCACATTTTGAAATAAGGAACCACTATATCTGGCTCCTTTTAGAAGCAGCATATATGCCATTCGTATCGGTCATAGGACATTTCGTCAACGATTTTTTGTCCGCGCACCTGTTTTTTCCAGTAATTTACGTCCACGCGTTTGTTCGGCACGGAGGTTTTGGTTCACGTGCCAATTGAGACCCAAAGTTAATTGGTCCACATGTAAATACAAACGATAATTGCTCACGACGTTTTTGGATGAAAATGCATAATGTCTTGAAAGAATGAGGGGTTGCTTGTAATTTTTTTTTTTTTTTTTTTTTTTTTTTTTTTTTTTTTTTTTTTTTTTTTTTTTTTTTTTTTTTTTTTTTTTTTATCCAACGGAGAATAATATATAATTGAGATTTTTGGTAAAAATGAGGGAGCGTCAATTCTATTAGACAAAATTTACTACAACTCTCTACACCTCTTTGGTGCAACAGGACTTAATTATCTTCCAAGAAATTCCCACCTTGTTATACCTCAGAGGTGGTGGTTATACCAACAGAGGTGCAACACCTCTGTTGTGAAATAGTTGCTTCAGGCA